GCGCTTGCCTCAGCCCTAGGTTGGCGCGTTCGGTCGCCTGGCCCGCTCCTTGTTTGTGCCGTTGGGGGGATTCGTTCCCACGTTCGCCTCTCGCACGCGAGACAAATCTCGCAGACGCCCATCCCTCGTATCCTATCTTCTGCGTTCTGAGTTCGATCTTCTCTGTCATGGATCGTATCCTCTGCGAAGATCTAATCCTCTGCCTCTCTCGATCTCTTGAGCCATATGCGATCTCTTAATCATTCCTTCTCCTTTTCTGGTCTATATGAGGCTTTCGTTTGGTGTGTTTCAAAAGGGCCGAAATTCTCTGGGGGGGAAAACTCTGTCATTTTCTTTTCTCACTTACTTCTTTAGCCTATTGTACTTGGGTTGGTTTCCTCTTACTGTTGGAGGAAGGATTGAAGTGGAGGAGTAAGGAATTGGAGTTGGAGAGTGCCTTTAAAGTTCCTGTGTTACTTTCTTTTTGCTTCAAGGAGGTATTTCTCCCCTCTTGCTTTTTTTCCCTTTTGTGTCTTGCCTCTTTGCGGTTTTGCTCTCTGCCGAGTCTCTGTTAGTTTGGTGCAATGGATAATGTCGCATGTTTCTATTCATTATAGCATATTTCTATTGGAAGCAATTAGGATGGTTGAAACATGTACGAGGGTTGAAACATGGCTTTGAGGCAATGTTAGCTCTTCTTGCAAACATGTTAGGATATGTATCATGAAGCTTTTCATTTATTCTTATCTAGCATGAGATAACTTTGAGGTTTATGCATGCTTCTCTACTTCACGTTATTCTTCTCATATGAAACACATGTTGACGTGGGTTTGTTTTAGCCACCGGATGGCACGGTTTTTGGCCTTTGTTGTGCTCGATTTTGGCTTGTGCTAGCCTCGGTTTCAGCCATTTGCTGGTTGCGGTTTTGGCCTTAGTCGAGGGGCTTAGTTTGGCTCGTTTTAAGCCCTTGGGCTTGGCTTGTTGGGTGGTTGTCCTGTACTTCTCCTATTCCTACCCGTGAACCTATTGAGTGGTTGCTGGGGACGGTATGACTCTTCTTGTTGAGTATGAGTGACTTGAATTTGATTGCTGAATCAAGTTTGTCATCCCAAAACACTTTAGTTATCCTCTTATGTATGTCAAGGGAGCATAGCAGCCACCGGTGGTTCTTTTTGGTTGCCTTTGGTCGTGGGCCTTAGCAGCTGCCCTGAGCCGTGAGCCTTAGTAGTTGCCTCCCTTGTGGGTTGCCTTGGCCGAGAGCCTTAGTTGTTGTTCATCTCTTTGTATTGACCTCGGCCGTGAGCATTTATTTATTGCCTTGACCGAGAGCCTTAGCTGCTGTTCATCTCTTTGTATTGACCCCGACTGTCAGCATTTC